CATATTCATTCTTTATTGTCCTCAATAGAGGAAATTTGTTTCCACAGGCTGTACCAGGAGCAACATTCAACACTCATAACATACACTTATACACATTGTACACATAAATTAGGCTTTCTGTGAATTCAACGCCCTTATGGCGGAAATTACAAAGCTCCTCCCTAGCCGTGATTTTTTTATGGGGTAGCTATCTACGACCTGAGGGAAGAAGGGTGAAACATGAGTTAAGCGGGTGGCTCTGATTTTTTTTATGATGGTGTTTGCTCTGCGAATGATAGCAGCGTCAATGAGAGCCGGCAAATTGGGTGTGGGAAGGCCTCTTATTTTTGAGGAAGTGTTAGTGATTTTAAGAAGCTTGTTTCTATCAGTGAGTGAAAGCATAGTGAAATAGCAGGTGGCACAGTACAGAAGAACGGGTTCAATGAATTAAGTTAACAATTTTAGTTGCTATAACTTATTATGCTATACTAAAGTTAGAACAAATTAAGTTGTTCTTTCTTTTTCCGTAACTGTTCCTCTTGATCCTCCAGCTCATGCTTATCCTTCAAGAATTTTTGTTGTGCCCTTAATGCTGCCATGCAGCCTCTGCTTTGAGACTTACAGAAGAAGTAGATGATGCCACAGATCTCTTTTCTGTTGTTGAGCTTTGAATTTTCCCCACATTTGATACACTGTCAGTTGGTTTGATGTCATCTTGTAAAAATGATGCATGATCTATCACTTGAGGATTGGGAAACTCTTCCTGCATTGCACCAGCACAAGACTAAACAGACATAACATTCTCCAATGATCCTTCTGGTTCACTCAACAAATGTTGAAATCACTTCTTTAAATGTGTTGCTGTATTTCATAATACTCCAAAACCATTCATTTTGTTTTTCCTGTTCATCTTTAGGAAGTAAAGGAATCGCCATGTCATGCATCTTGCTGGCATTTTCACAAAGCTGAACATGAGTTTTAAACTGAATTTGCATCTGGGAGGTATTTTCCTTTCTTTTCATCAGATTTTTAATCTCTGGTATCTGGCTCTTAATTTTGTTTACATTTGATTTTCGTTTCATTTGCAAACTTTCAATTTTATTCGCCAAGGCCTTTGCAGTAAGTTTAGTTTCTCTTTTACCGCAATCCATTTCAAAGCCAGTGACGTCATCAACACTCACTTCACTCATGTTTGTTTTCTCACAACTCAACAATGTTCATATATTCATTCAAATCCTCCAACATCACAGCGTCAGCAACACGCAAACAAACGCCGTCAACATCGCGACATTACTTTTCGACACAAACGGATCGCCAACGATAAGCTTTAAACACCAGAGCTCTGTGCAAACTCCACTGAAGCCAAACAACAAACAATAACACAACCGTGCGATCATCCCCAATGGATAGATAGCGACGAACACAATTCAATCTGCGCGCAATCCAATACTGCACAGCTGATTAGAACAAAGCCCAACAGGCTTACCTATGCGGTGATTGTTTGCTTGCTTCTCTTCTGAGCTTTGCTGATCAAGTTTCGCTGGCGTTTCAACTTCCGCGGTGGCTTTAGAATTCCTTTCCTTGTTGTAATTGTGCAGAATCCTATCCTCCGTGGTGCGATGTGAACCGTTTGGCGTGTCCGCTGACATCGATGAGGCAAATTATCTTTTACTAGCAATCCTTTATTGCTGGCTGATGTTTCTTGATGGTACAAAGTTCAGTGGTCAACAAAGAATACATCGGCCCTGCTCACCCCCTCTCACCTAACTTAATCAGTGAACAGGTGACTAATATTCACATTCCCACGTAATCCCGTGACCCGCCACTAGGATCACGTGACAATAAAAAACATTAACTCTTTCATGTCTACTACATACATATAAGCACATTATATGCATAACCCTAACCCATTTAAATAAATTAATTGTGTATATAATATTATATATAGGCATATATAAAATATTATTAAAAATATTATATATTAGTTACCGTAAGTTAGCTGAGTCATTCCACGAAACCGGTACGATTTGGAGTTACACATTTTTGGATTTTTTACCAACATGTATTTCTTTTCTGAACACCCCACAACATTAATGACATATTTAACTTCCAGAAAAACATATTTTCCCACCTCAGGCATTAAATACTTTTTATTATTGGTAATTATAAGATATGGGCGCTATTAGTCTTCAACCCCGTTATGGACAATATGGGAGCTCTCTGAATATAATTATAAAATATATTTGTAATGAAATCAACATTTTCCTATTAGTCAGATGTCCCTCACACTAATTCAGTAATTGCAAATGTAAAATGTACATATTTCACACTTATGCTATACTAAAGCCTGAAATGGGCACTTTTTGTGACAGCAACCTCATCATTTTTGATCAAAGATGTGGCTTAACTTCAGAATTTGAATTAAAATCAGTATTCTTATGATTGCTCTGAACATTTTAGACTGAGTTCAACAAACAATAATTTACTTTTTCATAAACGTTAAAAAAAAATCATAAAAATGTAGGTGTGACGGGGTTGAGACTAGGGTAACAGGGTTGAAGATGGTAACGGGGTTGAAGAGACAAATACAGCTTAACATATGAGTAGTTGTTTTTTCACACTGTTTGTGTGTGGTTTTTTTTTACATGTGCGCATGCTTCGTGGCAAAGAAGTAACAGGGTTGAGTGTGACGGGGTTGTGATTTTTTGCTAAAAATGGCCACTGCTCGATATGTAGTGAATAACAGGAGAGCACATGGAATGCATGATATTAAGAAATCATGTATGCTTTTGAAATAACAAAGATCATTTTCACAAGTAATAGAATTCTATCTTTATTTGATGTAACGGGGTTGAGTCGTTGAGCTTGACAACCACAATATCACAATTCTAAATAAGTTATAGTTATAAAAGTAGTTGGTAACTTGCCTGTGTCTGCACACAATGTTGTTCAGAAGACTTCTATGATGTCACTTCCTGTTGTTGATGATGTCACATAAGGATCTGTTCATTATTTTTATGGGGGAGAATGATGTGTGAAACGGGGTTGAGGGATTACTGAGGTACGGAACTAAATAATGTGATTTTAATGAATAATAATGAATTTATTTAAAAAAAAACATTACCAGCAAAAAAGCACAGATAGATATTCATGGGAATGGCAAAATGTATGGACTTTTTTTCTAATTGTATTATTCATATTCCAAGTACACTTTCATAGAAGGCCATGAGGGACATGACAAAATAGGTGGTGTCAACTGAAAAAACAAGATAATTTCTAATATAAAGATAAAATGTTTGTCATTATTTTTAAACTCTATTAAAGGAGACATTTCAATTGATACAAAAAGCTTTTAATAATAGATTTTGGTGACCCAATAGGTAAAATACACTTAAAAAGGTCAGAGGGACTCGACCGGTTTCGTGGAATGACTCAGCAAACGTTAGTGAAGTGTTGGTCAAGTAAGCTATAGCTGCAATTAACCTATTATCTTCCAATAAACATTTACTAAAACTGGCTACATAAAATATAACTACAGACTACATTCACGAGAGGTCGGCTAATGTGTGTAAAAGTAAAAATACAGTAATTTAATTAATTTACCAGCGAGCGTACTTCGGAAGCACTGAAAATGAATGGGGTTCAATGCTGGAACTATCAGTGTTTGGAACTATTGGCTGCTCCACAACACGCGTTACTTCCGCATTCCAAAGTTCCCATACATACAGTCGGCAACTAGTAATAGTTGGGGGGCGTGGTCGGCGTGGGGGAAAACACCGCGAACGTCGTGTGTATTTGAATGACAAAAATGTCTTATTGCAAGGCATTGACGCCTGCCGACAGGCAACGATACATTGCAAAATTAACTGCAATAGGATCAATGTATAATTTTTGTTTATATTGGCAGTACAGAAAACTACACAACAACTTTTCTGCATGATTGTCGCGTGTATTTCAATGAGCGCCAAGGCAATTTTTCCCCCACGGGGTAAATTCACATCACGTGACGGGGCGTTCCCGGGGGCGTTCCCAGACCAACCGTCTGTATCTATGGAGTGTCACAACTCTTTCTCTCTATGGCTCTGGTCTAGTGGTTAAACATGAGATATAATTTGTCTTGTGTAAGTCGATCTTTGGTCTCATTAATCTGTTTGTTCTATGGCAAATCGGTTTGGCTGAGGTCAAAGTGAAGTTTCATAACTTATTTAGGCATTAACTTTAACTTTGTAGCCTATTAACGACTGAATTGTTTGCTTTATTTTTTATTGTATGGCTATTGGCTTCTTATACTTTTATACTGGATATTATTGATCATTAAAACTGACATTTAACAAAAAGAGACAGGGTTGCGTAATATAATTTTATATATTTTAAAATATAGGCTAGCCTACATTCTCTTCACTGTATGTAGCCTACATGTATAATAATAAAATAAAATGACACAACCCTGTCTCTGTTTGTTAAATGTCAGTTTTAAATCAAAAGAAAAGGAGCAGGGTTGTGTTTTATATTTCGTGTTGTTATAAATATATGCAATGAAGATAATCAATGTAGCCTACGCGTTGCCTGAACCAAATTTGTGTGGCTATTAATATGTTAAAGTTTTGTTTGTTTTTTAATAAAAAGAGGCAGAGTGGTGTTTTATAACATATTTCGTTTTATTGTTGCCTAAAATATATAAAGAGATAACCGAGTAGCCAGAGCGAGCTGAGTGACGCGATCAAGAACGCCGCTGTTCCATTTGCAGAAAAAACGGACTCGCGGACTCTCGTCCTCGGGAGTTCGTTCTTCTCAGTCGAAAGTGGCAAGTCCGAACTACAGAGGACGCAGGTCCGAAGTTTGCCGGTATTGAGAAACGGCATGTGATTTCGGACACCGCCTACTTCTAAAAAAAAAAAAAAAACACAGCTTTTGTTGAACTTTTGACTCGAAAAACTTATACTTATAACGATGTGTAGCCTTTGTCAATCTTTGAGAGACAGAAAGAAGAAGAGATGAGAAGAAATTGGTAGGCTATTTACGTTATCCCCGCTCAAAGATGTTATATTATACGCCTCCTTCAGATCACCGGGACGGCGAGGATTCAGACTGTGCAATGACAGGATTTAAAACAATTAAAATGTTTGTCCATAATTCGTGAGTTTTACAGTAATGCTTCTGAATGTTGAGACTGACGTGCCTTTCAGTTTCTACCGAAACCCAGCCATGGTTTACATTACATGAGAAACTTCCCCTGCTGAAAGGCTTCTTCATGTCTTCTGGCAAACAGAAGAACTTCTTTGAAACATGCATGACTTTTTCCACCTAAAACAGTGAACAGAGAAATAATAGAGAAATAATCCGCTACAAACAAAATAGAACGTCTCTTAAGTAACAAGAATGTTTAAAAAAAAAATCACAAACCTCTTCCTGATTTATGCCCGTGTTTTTCAAATAAACAAATCCCACTTCGGTAAAGGCCTTTCTCAATTCTTTACTTAACTTTTCCAAGTCAACATCCGATTCATTGCCCTTTCCCAGTTCGTAGACACTGAAATCCAAGACAGGTATCTCCATTCTTTCTCGAGACAACAAAACTTAGGCTATTAAAATTCTTTCGAAGAAGAAACCGTGAGCAAAAGGATCTCCGCTTATTTTAGTGCAGCGCAGTCCGTAATGGAACAGTTGAGCAAATGTAGGGAAATAAAGATCCATCATATGACCAAACTTTGGGGAACAAAGATCACTGGATCCGCCTATTCTCAACGTGCCGCTGTTTTGCAGTGAGTGTAGGCTACTGTTTAAACTTTGTAGTATGCAGTCTAGGCTACAATACACGTTCAATAGCCTACCTTTTCCAGTGGGAAAAAGATTCCAGAATGCTTTCTGAAAGCAATATAGAATGATATGTGCAGTGGTATTGATCATATTGGTTACTATGCATTTTATATTAAAAACAGAATGCTTCCAAAAAAAAAAAGGTCTTAACCATGGAAATACTAAATGGTAACAAGAAGAAGAAAAAAAACAATGTACAATTTATTGGATGAAAAAAAAATCAAACAAGTCGGTATTAACTCTAAAATCCTTTATCCAAACATAAAATATATTTTGGCCGTTACACCTCGGGTGTGCATTATTTTTCTAATAATTCAACGGCCTGAAGTCAATTATTCCGCGTATACTACAGTTGCCACACCTCAAAACATTGTTCAGATGATGCAGTTTTAGTCATTAAAACGCTCTTGTATGTAGGACTAATTTCTTACGCATCTAATCCATGCCTCCGTTGCCAATTCCAAAACGTCATTTTAGAGTTAGTAACGGAGGTTTGAGCCACTGATAGCAGACTAATGATGGGGACACACGACTTGCTGAAACATTCGAAGACTGACTGTTTCCATCGACTGTAGCAGGTCTTAAACACAGACTGTGAATAGGCTACAAACTGAACGCGCTGAACACGCGTTTGGGCAAGATCAGTCATAAGTATCAAATTACATTCATAACTGGCCTTAGTCAGTGTGTCCCGGCTTTATGCGGTTATTAATGCCGTTATTAGAGAGAGAGAGAGAGAGAGAGAGAGAGAGAGAGAGAGAGAGAGAGAGAGAGAGAGAGAGAGAGAGAGAGAGAGAGAGAGAGAGAGAGAGAGAGAGAGAGAGGTTGCAATAATGAGACAGAAAAGCATGTGCGTCAATATTATTATTTATTAATTAATTAAATTTGTTTTAATTAATTCGTTCATTCTTGTTTTCTATAATTGACAGTAGATAACCCAATAAATGAAACACACAAAGCCCTTTTAACAAGTAGGCCTATCAATAATTGTTTATTTGTTTTATTATCTGGAATAATTACGAAAACCCAGCAGGACTATCAATTTATTTATATAGCCTATTCAATTTAATTTTATATTTAGCCTATAGATAGGACTACATACTTTATTTATTAAAATTAAACTGTAGGCATATGTTGATTGTGAAGTTAGACCAAAGAGTATAGAAGAACAATTAACTCCAATGCTTTTCTGGTAACAGCCACTAGGTTGCGCGGCCGCCATTTTGGGGTGAAAATTCCAACTGGAGTTACTGGGCAACAGCACAGATAACGTACTCGGTTACTAACGTAACCTCGGTTCTCTCTAGAGAGGGAACGAGTACTGCGTAATAGCTTTACGCTAGGGGAAAAACTCTTTTCCACGAGATATTGAAGCCAAAAATTATCCTTAATTTTTTATTAATGTAAAACGCTTTGCAGCAGCAAGCAGACATAGGCGAAACAGCTCGCGCGCCTATTGGTTGCTCTTGCGGCAAATGCAGCAGCCTATCGAGAGAGACTCTGCGTGACGTAATGACCAATGGGGGCAATTCGCGCCCATATCGTCACGTCCCGCCAGAAAGGGCGTGGTCTCACCCTATAAATATGCTCGTTAGGCTGGTACAAGCTGGTTTTTATCGCTGAAGCGAACCAGAGCGTATTCCAAGCACGGCAAGATACGCAGTACTCGTTCCCTCTCTAGAGAGAACCGAGGTTACGTTAGTAACCGAGTACGTTCTCTTACGAGAGTATCTCTCGTACTGCGTAATAGCTTACGCTAGGGGAACACAATGCAACACGCCGTGCGTACAGGGATCAAACACCAAAGTCCCAAGGGCCGAAGCCCAGGGCTCATGTAGTGCATAATCACCATAAACTCACATAGAGTGGAGGAAGAGAGGCTGGAAGCGTCATTCCCTATAAAAAAGCACCCAGCGGGGCTATCATATGACAATAAAACGCGCAGCCAGGGTGAAAGCTTTCAGCCTGATCTGGGTGGCCATACGTGTGTCAACACTCATGGGGCTGCAGTAAACTCAGCATCTGGGCCGCACAGCGGGGCAGATAGCACTGAATTTTAGACCGCCAAAAGCTTAGCTTGTAAGGCGGGTACCTCCAGGTTATAGTATTTTATAAATGTAGACGGCGAGGCCCAGCCCGCGGCCGTACAGATATCTTGCAGGGAAACCCCGCTCGACCAAGCCCACGAAGAGGCCACGCCTCTCGTGGAGTGCGCTCTGACACCCAAGGGGCACTGTAGGCCCTTTGCAGAGTAAGCGAGCGCAATGGCATCCACTATCCATCTGGATAGGCTCTGTTTTGAGGCGGCGAGTCCCTTGGAACGCCCGCCAAACAAAACGAAAAGCTGCTCCGTCTGTCTGAAAACAGACGAGCGTGACACATAAGCTCTCAATGCCCTGACGGGGCAAAGGAGACTCGCGTCCTCCTCCTCACTGAGAACCGGAAGGGCGGACAGGGAAATTACCTGGGCCCTAAACGGTGTATTGAGGGATTTCGGGACATACCCGTGCTTAGGTTTGAGAATGACCTTCGAGTCATTAGGCCCAAACTCCATACACGACGCGCTTACTGAAAGCGCCTGCAAGTCCCCTATGCGCTTCACTGAAGCGAGAGCCATGAGAAACACTGTTTTGAACGACAGGTGTTTCATGTCCACCAGCTGGATTGGCTCGAACGGGGCGCCTTTCATGGCCTCCAGGACCGTGGAAAGGTCCCACGTCGGGACTGAAGGGGGCCTGGGAGGGTTTAGCCTCCGAGCTCCCCTAAGGAAACGCACGACTAAGTCGTTTTTCCCCAGCGACTGGCCAGACACCGGTTTTGCAAACGTTGCTATGGCCGCCACATATACTTTGAGCGTGGACGGGGTCCTGCCCTTATCCAGTAGCTCTTGAAGGAAGGAAGCACTTCCGAAACCCCGCATTCCACAGGTGAAAAGCTCTGGGCTTGACACCATGCAGAGAAAACAGACCATTTCGAGGAGTAGAGCCGCCTGGTAGACGGAGCTCTAGCCTGCGTGATCGTGTTTAACACTCCTTCTGGGAGGCTAGCGGGTACCCGTTGATGGCCCATGCGTGCAGGGACCACAGCTCCGGGCGAGGGTGCCAAATCGAGCCCTCCGCCTGAGAGAGGAGGTCCCTCCTCAATGGTACAGGCCATGGGGCAGTGCTGGTCAGCTGCATCAGGGCAGGGAACCACATCTGGTTTGTCCAGAGCGGAGCTACGAGCAGCACTGGGCAAACGTTCTCCCTGATTCGTTCCAACACCTGAGGCAGGAGCGAGACAGGAGGAAAAGCATATAGGGGGCAGCGGGGCCAAACATGAGCCAGCGCGTCCTTGCTTTTCGAGAAAAACTCCGGGCAATGAGCGTTTTCGTGGGACGCGAATAGGTCCACCTGTGCTCTGCCGAACGTTTTCCACAGCAGCTGGACCGTCTGCGGGTGCAGCGACCATTCCCCTGCTGGAACATTGTTCCTGGACAGTCTGTCTGGTCCCACATTCAGGTGACCAGGCACGTGCGCTGCTCTCAGTGAGAGCAGGCCGTGCTGAGCCCAGACCAGGAGGCGTTCCGTCAGCCTGTGAAGGTTTCGTGACCTGACGCCGCCCTGGCGATTTATGTATGCCACCACTGACATGTTGTCCGACCGGACCAAGACGTGGTGGCCTGTAACCTGGGGACAAAAACGCCGTAGCGCTTTGTCGACTGCTATCATCTCCAAGCAGTTTATGTGAAGGAGCTTTTCCCGTTCTGACCACAGGCCAGCTAGCGGTCTGCCCTCGAGCAGCGCTCCCCACCCCGAGGTGGAGGCGTCCGTAGACACCACCTTCACACTCGAAGCGGTCCCCAGACTCACACCTGACTGATACCAGTCGGTTATTTTCCAAGGTTCCAGAGCTGAAACACACTGTAGGTTGACCCTGAGGCGAAACAGACCCGCTGTCCATGCCCTGGGTGGAACCCGCGCTTTCAGCCACATCTGCAGTGGGCGCATGCGAAGCAAGCCCCACTGGAGTACAGAGGCCGCTGAGGCCATCAGCCCCAGCATTTTCTGAAACCTTTTGAGCGGAACTATCTAACCGTGGCGGAAGGATTTCGCGACGCGCTGAGTATTTAGTCCGCGCTCTGGTGACAGGCGTGCCGTCATGGATAGCGAGTCTATCACTGTTCCCAGAAAGGACATTTTCTGACTGGGAGACAGTGAGCTCTTCGCCCAATTGACTGTGAGGCCCAGCTCCTCGAGGTGCTCGAGTAATGCGGCCCTGTGTTCTATGAGCTCCGATCGTGATCGAGCTAGAATCAGCCAATCGTCCAAGTAGTTCAGGACTCGCATGCCCTGAAGTCTCAGGGGTGCGAGCGCCGCGTCCATGCACTTCGTGAATGTACAAGGTGCTAGGGACAGGCCGAACGGCAGGACTGTGTATTGATATGCCTGGCCCTCGAAAGCGAATCTCAAGAATCGCCTGTGATGGGACGCTATTTGTATTTGGAAATAGGCGTCTTTCAGATCTATTGACATAAACCAGTCCCCGTGGCGCACTTGCGCGAGGATTTTCCTGGTCGTAAGCATTCTGAACTGGCGCTTCACAAGCGCTCTGTTCAGCTGTCGCAGATCTAAAATGGGTCTGAGACCTCCATCTTTTTTCGGTACCAGAAAATATCTGCTGTGTAGGCCCCCTTTGCTCTGAGCTTGAGATAAAGGTTCTATAGCACCTTTGCTCAGTAGTTTCGCTATCTCGGCTCG